TGAATGACTGCAACGTTGAACTTTATTTCGTCAATTGTTTTAAACGCTTTTTATGTTCTGTTCAGGCAGATCCCAAGCCCGGCGCCCCATCTTTCAGAATAGCCGGCACAGGAACCGTCACCGATTGCAACGAGTCCTTCCAAATCATGAAGAAGCTCAAACTAGTCGGTCACCCATTCAAAATTTTCTCGAAAACTGCATTTATTCGTGGAATGTTCAACAGTGAGCTGGAAGTTAGCAAAATGATTGGCTCCAAGGTGCAGACCGTCTCGAAAATCCGAGGTAAATTAGACTAGTATGATATAATTGAAAGATCGCGTTGTTTTAATTAATCTTCCCCCTCGTTATCTTGCGTCGAACTCGTAGTCTTCGATCTGGAAGCTTTGCCCGTGTATGACTTCAGGGGTGCACGTAAACCAGTCATGTCTTTTGGTGATCTACCACAGAATCGGAAGATATCGTACAATGCAATAAACCTGAATGTCGGCGTGGCTATGCAAGCTTTTTTAAGACTTGCTACTTTCAGTTTTAGTTAACCTTCAGCCAGTAGAACAGTAGGTACTAGTGTGCACTCGGATTTATGAGGCAGCCTCGCCTTTTCCACCCACTTTCGATCCGGCATAGCACATAAATTTTTACTACTCATCACCATAGCTCTGCAGTTTTGGAGGAAATGTCAGACTAGATCTTTGTTTGATCACAGTTGGACTTTTTAAATCTCTGCGCTTGTGTACGACAGAAAAAAAGTAATTGGTCAATTCAACCCCCGCCTCTGCTAAAAGTTCTCAGTGTGTCTGCCTTGGTTCTTTTTGCACAATAAGGAAAACTAAGAACCACGTACTCATAATCCCAGTCACATGTGAATGTTTTGTCGAACACGCCAGCTAGCGACTCTGATTTTCACACGAAGCAGTTGTTGATCCCCTGAGTTGTGGGATTTCTGCTAACTTGATTAGCCGGGAAAACGGTATATTCTCACGACCAAAGGTTCAGCGCTTACAGATAAGGTTTTTATCCCACTTACCCTCTATAGTCCCCGGTAGGGATTGCGTATCCGCCCTCCCCCACCCTTCGCCCGACAGACTACAGGAACTGCCTGTACTTCGGTGGCTTTTCGTTAAATTCCAAAGGACTAGAGTTAATTTAAGCCTAGGTTTATGATTATAGTTAACGTTAAAGGATCTTCTCTCCGCTTTCAGAGGAGTCCGTTGTCGGACCAACTCTGCGCAGTTTCCTTAAGTTCTCTGTCACACTCTTTTCTCTGGTTATTGGGCTTTTAAAAACGCAGTATCTTCTAGCTTTCCGAGAAGTCTTACCTGTGAATGGTGTTTACATCTGATTACCATGTCTCAAGTGTAAGCCGTCTTGTCCCTGGAGGTCAAAATTACGGCTAGTCTCTGCAATGCTTTCCTAATTTATATTTTGTATACACGGGTCAGGTTTCCCCAAAATAGTTGCAGTTCTTGTCATTGCAATTTATTACGTCGACAAATTACGAGGTTTTGGTCAATGTCAAATTTTCCTTGGGTTGCTTTAAACGGTGGTAAATTGTTGTTTGCGGTCTACAGGTCACACCTACGTTGGCGGGGTTGTAGTGGTTGAGATCTGCCTCGGATGCCCCTTTAATGTGGGTAATAGCTCTACAGACTTCAAATCATTGCTCTTTTCTCCGTCGTCTGTGATAACAACGCCCGCTTTTTTAGATAAAATGGCTTCGGTTTGAATTGCCTCTTTAACTACTGACTTATTGCAATGTGTTGCAGCTACGTTAATAGAACAGAGGACAGTTGCTGTTAAAACATACTATTTGGATTGTTCCGGTGGCTTGCGCGATAATTTCGGACTCTTTGGTTTTGAAAGTGGCTATTTGACAGTGGTATTCATATTTGATGTTCACTATCTAGACTTTGTTTTTGCTACTGCCGACTTGATATTGCTCTGGAAATCTCGTTCGTGATTGCCAACTGTTTGTTTACATCGGACGCTGAGGTTCTGTGTTGCGCTTAACAGTGTAGTCTGTTGTA